TGTTAGACAATGTTGCAACGACGTTACATCAAACCGCTCATGACTAAAGACAAAAATTGATTGCTTTATGCGCTTAACATTCCAAAGAAAATACGAACACATCCCGGATTCGATGTGGATTTACTGAAGTCATACCATATATCCGCTCCAACAAGCGAATCAGATGTGAAGCGCTCTATTACTGATACAGCAGCGTCTCCACTACTCCCGGTAGCCGACACATCCTCTGTTCTGAAGCAACAACACCAAACAGCTGGGAATGCTTCGAATCAGGCAATGCGGTGACGAAGCACATAAGCAAACACGAGATTGATAAAATCTGAACCTTGAAAGCACGCTATAATTTTTGGACGGAATCGACGTGCCACCATAAGAAAGAGGGCACCATTGAGTCAGCCGCGGGATGGTTGATCTTGCCGACGCTACTTTGATGAGCAAGGGGCGGTGTGGAACATACATTTTGGTGTACGCCAGGGCTGTGACTAATAACTGATGAAGTGGATGGGTTATCTCACCCCTATAAGTCGTGGAAGTTTGAAGATCCACTTCGGCAAGATTGTCTTGATGCTGTGACTGCTTACAGCCTAATGAACCCTCGACTTATTTGGTCGTTCGTAGCAGTCCGCTTCCCACAAGCGGTATACGACTCATCTTCCAGTTAAATTGACTATCAGTGGGTGGCTAATACAGCTATCTATTGGAGCCGAGCGGGGCGATTTGAAGCAGAAGCATGCGGATTTGGATTGTCATCTCGAGTTTCGCGTCGAACTTTGAATTACGTCAAGTGAAGCATGAGACGACAATTTAGGCAAACGACCGCTTTGCCGAAGTTGGCTTGAAGATATGAAGATTTTTCAATGGCGAATTTTTTTTGCCTAATGCGATAGCTGAGTCATGCTGTGAGTGGAGCTCTCGCCGGCTTCTAGTACCCAAAGTTCATACCTCACGGAGGGTACAGGTTTCTTCGACCGCTGTTACTTTAAGCACAGATGATGTGATAATCGGTGGTCGTCGAAGCGCTAGTGACGCGACTTTATTGCACGCATTTTTATCTGATGTGGGTAGAAATTATCACGCGTATATGCGTGGTGCTCTAAAGCAGCGCTGCGAGCAAATTCGAACAAGATAGAATCTTTGGGGAAAGTTTAGCCTGTTGGTAACAAGCTGGACATCTTCTCGGGTTCCACGGCAGAGTGTCGAAACACTTTCTGCCGTTGTATAAAGTACTATGTACGAAACTCGTGCAGCAGGGAGGCTGCAGTAAGAGTCCTCATATTGGGAAACGACAAAACCATGTATCGCCGAGTAAGAGCGGAGGAGTTTGGTCGAGAATATGAAACACACCGGGCCGGGAAAACCTCGGCATCTTCACTTTTAGTCCGTAGGTCGACCTTTGGTCAGGGCTTGTTGAGCCTTAAAATTTGGTGCGGTGGGAGGAGACTTCCCATGCCAATATGCTCCGATGTGTAGGCACGTTGAAATGCAACGCGTGGACCTCTATGCGCAGCTGTAGCTCATGGAGATGTTGCTTTTGCGCAGTGAATCAGAAATGCAAAATATTAATGTGCCTCAGTGTGGCTGCAACTTAATGTACTATAATCTTGAGGAGTTGGGCCTGACAAATTTGGTACATGTATCCATTACGATAATTGACAATTGTACAGAATTCCCATTACACTTGGTGTGATTGTAAATATAAATGATTACTGGGATGTTATTACCTATAAAAATAGCGGAACGCCGATAAGGAGGGGCCGATATACACGTAGGCTGTTGGTCTCACGTTAAATGATAATCATAGTCGCACGATAGAAAACAATCTGATTATGGAAAAAGTCAAGATATACATTTTACATAGTATCATCAAAATTTTAAGAACAATCTTTTTATAAAAAATAGACATATAAATTTGATATAGTATAATTGAAATTACAAAATTACTCTCGAAATAGTGGGGCGAACTAACAGCATGAGGTATCTGAAAGGAATTTGGCTACACTTCTGGTGGATGCGCACAATCCTAACCTCTGTGCAGCTGTTCAGCAGACACTGAAAGCCATACTTACTCTGTGCAAATTGTATGACGACTCCGTTGCGCAGTCGGCGACATCCAGCTATTTGGCGACGACTGGTCCTGGCTCTGGGCGCCAAGAATTGGCGTTGCTATCGATCTCGGACAATTTCTTTTCCTACATGACGTCTATTGCAAATTCACGTCCGCGCCAGAATTGCTTTAGTTTTGTCAATGCTTCACCGGTTGTAAGTGCGTGGCACCTAACTGATTCGACCTCCAGTCGACCCCTGACTTCTAGTGATCCAGCTACACCGTGACAAATATGAGATCAAACTCGAATAGTTATTCAGGATTAGACAATAATCCATGCTGTCAAAGGCCTCAACCTTCACCAGAAAATCAAGCGCTACATGCGACACTTTTACTATCTTCTCCGTTGAAAGATGCAGGGAAATCGTATCCGTTTCGATATTTTCAGCGCTTCCGCATACTATCTACTTTTGTCAACAGTCGCGCTTCGAGCGTAATTGACACTTCTGAATATTCCAGGACTTCTTATGGATTCAAAAAGTCCGCGGCGTTGACGTTAACAAACGATAATTCTAGGCTGTGAGACCCACATTGCGAAGAGACAGTCGCTCTTATTAGGCTGCATCCCAACGGCGACGACCTCCATAATCTTCAATATATTCGAGCTCTTTCCTCGTAGGCCTCACTGCACCTACTGGATTTTGACGTTTATCCGTGATGTATTCGTCTTCCACTCGCGCGTGGAGATCCAACCCTTCGTATCTCTCAACTGAGAGAAAAGAGGGCGCGCGTTCATCTACTACCGCAAATGGCGGGAACCGCGACCTTACCCATTCTTCCCTAGCATTGCTGCAGCTTAACACATCTGGTGCGATCGTATATCTTTCACTAACAGCACCCCATACTGTACTTGGGACACGGAAGCCCTGCTTTGCATTGTTTGCAATGCCCACCGCTTCCTCATATGAGCACCTCCTGGCGAACCTGTAAACGTCAACTCCCTGACCCCACGAAAGACCAAAGCTTACTAATGCTGGCATATTTGTCCCGGGGACAGATAAAACCTTTTATTTTTCACGTCGCAAAATATACAGCTCTTCCACGACTCGGTCGTGAAGATAACTAAAATGTCGTGCACTTTGCACAGAGGAACGTTTGACTCTCAAAGTCCACGTTTTCAGACGCACAAAGATTAGAACTGCCAACTTCTTTCAGGAGCGAAACCAGAAACATCGCTTGATTTCACTCTACCATTTACATACGCTGCCAAATTTCCATTATAAAATTGTATTTCTTTTCTGTTGTGCGACTAGCAGCGCGCGTGTACGTTGGTCTCCTCCTTTTTAAATGCCGTAATGCTCAAGAACATCACATCACACCAAGCTTACTGTGATATCGTACAATCGTACGATGATGCTTTTTATACAGTTGAATCAAATGTGTAAGTATTAAGTACACAAGATAATCGCGGTCATCGCTCTTTCTCCTCGTGAGGGCGGAGGCGTTGAGTCCCATGACTCGGAGAGTCGCTACAAACGCTCTTCTCAGCCTGCTCAGCAAGTACAGCATTGAGAGCATCAGTTACCAGGACAGCGCCCTTCCCAATGGGCTGCTCCTCCGCGCGAAATTGTGTACTTCCAATGCAAAACTGCATTTTCTTGGCGCGCAGAAATGGAGGAAAATTCTGCGTGCATTGATTGCGTGATAAGTGCTCACTTTTGCGCAATGATTTAAAAGACAAAAGAAATGCGAGCCGCCGTACATTCTACAGTGAAGGAGGGTGCGTGCTACAGGCTATGTTCTGCACTATTGTGTGCGTACACCTTGCACTTCCGTACAAATGTACCAAATTCAATATTGTACAATTGCACGAGATTCATTTTACACTTTTGTATTATCGTGGATGTCTGGAAGCACCGATGTATTGATGCTTATGAAGATGTATAGACTCCGAAAAGCAAAGATCGCGTTAATCGTAGGTTATTAGTGCAGCGGGGCTGCCGTAGCTCTTTGCTTGGGAAAAGCATACATAAGGTCACCGACTTTCGTCTTATACCAGAACAAGTGCGAGGGTAATTTGCGACCTTAAAGAGTACCCAGGACCTTAACCAAGGCAAATAAACTTCCGTTCGAAATTGTTGCTGTAAGCATATGTTTTATTTGCGGCCGAGCCGCCTATATTTAAAACCTAAGGTTTTCCTGATTAAATAGTAAAAACTAATTTATATGCATAACAACTGACAGTCCCACGACTAGTGGCTTTTTGTAACGGTGTAGCCAGATTACACCAGCTTGTGTAGTCTACAGTTTTGTACAGTCACACCATCTTGTGTGACCCACCCTTTCATACAAGGGTTCGTGTAACCCAGTTACACTTTTGGTAAGTGCAACCCCGTTACAATTAGTATCACGGCGAGAAATAGAGCGCATATACTATTAGTATTAGCTGAAATATGTATGTCATTTGGAATAGCTGGACAATCCAGGCAATTAGCACAGGCAACTAGCTACGTTAGATGATTTCGGCCCCGCTTCTGACACAGTGTGCGATCTCATCTTTTGTGCGATTATCAATGTGGACGCTTTGAGTTGTAGCTTCCCCTGTGCAAATCTCACTGTAACCCTCTTGCACCTTGTCTTGGCGGAAGTTTTCTAATCAATTGGCGAGGACGATTTGCAACGAGTGTGGTCTACGACAATGATGGGTCGTGAGAAGGTATTCATTTTCCCAATGGGTTACACTTGAGTGCAAGTGTGTATCGGTTACACGTTACTATCCTTCTTACTTAATTGAAGAAGATCAATCATATTCGATGTTTGATATGAAATTCATAATAAACGTGTATACTTTACTTAAATATTTTACTACTTTTTCTTTTCGGCGAATAGTGAAATGCAAAACTTGTTTAAAATATAGATATTCTCCCCACCCAGAAAATCTTCAAGCAACGATATCATGGTGAGCGACAGCGCGTTCGCTGAAGCAGGCAAAAAGGCGGGACTGGAAGCCTGGCGCATCGAGAACCTTAAGCCTGTGTCCGTGCCAAGCACTAGCTTGCACAAGCTGTACAGCGGTGACAGCTATCTTTTTCTTAAAACCAGTGAGACAACAACGTACGACTACATGATTATTTTTTTGTATAGATTTCTCCTCTTTCACTTCCATTTGGTCAATTGCTTTTCTAGTGGTTTGACATGGAATATTCATTTCTGGCTGGGCAAAGATACGTCTACAGACGAAAGTGGGATAGCCGCATACAAGACAGTGGAGCTTGACGATGCGCTGGGCGGCGTGCCCGTCGAGCACCGTGAGTGTCAGGGCTATGAGTCGGTGCGTACTAGCAGATGCTTTAAACGATTATATGGTAGACATAAACGTAAGTATTGTGATCTTGTAGGCGCTATTCTTGTCCTACTTTAAAGCCACCGGTTTGGAATACCTCGATGGTGGAATGGCGAGTGGCTTCAATGAGATTAAACGAGACGAATATGCGACGTGTTTGTATCGAATCAAGGGTAAACGCACGGTTCGTGTTGAGCAAGTGCCGTTGAAGACCTCATCACTTAGTGTTGACGATGCGTACGTGCTTGACGCTGGCCTGGAGCTTTACCTGTACGCTGGTAAAGAAGCCAATCGCTTGGAGAAGGCGAAAGCTTTAGAGTTTATTACTAAAACCAGAGAAGCTCGTGGGGGTCGTCCTACTGTCACGCTTATGGACGAGGAACCTGAGACTCCTGGCTTTTGGAAAGCTCTCGGTGGCTTTGAACCGGTGACACGCTCAATTGAGACGGATGAAGAGCATGAAATTGCTGTCAGGAAAAACACGACGATCTTTCGAATAAGTGGATCAATTGACGACAATTTGATGGTTACAGATGTGACGCCACCTTCGGAAGTGTTGACCAAAGACATTTTAAAGAGTGAAGATGTGTTTCTCATTGATGTTGGCATCGAAATTTTTGTTTGGGTAGGCAAAATGGCGTCTCATAGTGAGCGTACGAATGCTTTGACGATTGCAGTCCAGTACTTAAAGAAAGAAGGTCGTCCGCCACACACACCTATTACACGAGTTGTTGAGGACGGCGAGACGCCACTGTTTACTGCGCTGTTTAAAGCATGGACTGAGCCAAAGGTGCTTGAGTTTGGCTACCAATCGAGTCAGGGTGTCGCGAAAATGCAAAATGACAAATCTGTTGACGTAAATACGTTAGTGAAGACTACTGTAAAGTCTGAAGAAGACATTGGTTTGGATCCATATGGGGACGGAAAGCACGATGTTACGGTTTGGCGTATCGAAAAGCTTGAGATGGTCGAAGTGGCGAAAGAACAATATGGCCAATTCTTTGATGGTGATAGCTACATTATTTTGCATGAGGTGACGCCCTCGAGCGGCAAGCCTACGCAGGTGATATACATCTGGCAGGGACGTTCGTCCTCAACCGATGAAAAAGCAGCTTCGGCTCTGTTGACCACATTTTTGGATAAAAGTATGCATGGTTCACCCATTCAAGTCCGTGTGACTCAAGGCAAGGAACCGGGACATTTTCGTGCACTTTTCAATGGGACGATGATCGTGCACGCTGGTGGTAAGGCTAGTGCTTTTACAAATCGTGACGAAGAGGATTCGTATGATACGGACGGCGTTTCGTTGTACCAGATAAAGGGAACTAATGAGAAAAATACTGCTGCCGTCCAAGTGGATGAGAAGACGTCGAGTCTTACATCTGGAGACTGCTTTATCCTTGTGACGCCTAAAACGGTGTACGGGTGGCACGGTTGTGGTAGTACCTCTGTAGAGCGCGAGATTGCATTGAAGATTTCGTCAATTTTCAAAAAGGAACGCGATATTGAAGTTTTCCAAGAAGGAGACGAATTCGATGAGTTCTGGAACTTTCTTGGTGGCAAGGGCGAGTACGCGAAAATCAAATCGTCATTTGAAGCCCCTCACGAGCCTCGTCTGTTTCAGTGCTCGAACACATACGGATACTTTGACGCGCGTGAGATTTTAAACTTTGCCCAAGACGATCTAAACCCAGACGACGTCTTTCTCTTGGATACTTATACAACGATCTATGTGTGGATTGGTGCTGGTGCGAACGAGCCAGAGAGACGCGAGGCCATGAGTCTTGCTCAAAAGTATCTGGCCGTTGTCAAAGGGGATGGTCGGGATGCTGGCACACCCATTGTGGCTGTGCATTGCAATAGCGAGCCACTCATGTTTAAAAGCAACTTTATAGCTTGGGATAACGGCTACTTTTCAAAAAGTGAATTTTTGGACCCTTACAAGACTCGCCTTCAAAAGCTGAAAGAAGAGAAAGAGAGAAACTCCACCGAGAATTCCAATGCAATTGTGAAACAAGACATTCAAGAAGAGGAGCCACAGAGTGTATTGAATGCTCCTCTATCATCATCCATTCCAATAGCTGCAAGAGCAATTCCTGTTTTACCGACGGAGCTTCCAAATCCTAAGGTCACCACTGCATCGCCGGAAACCGTCACTACATCACTAGAAGACGCCGGGGTATCTGCCGAGGCCTCAGTTCCTGTGAAAAATGCTCCAGCTTCTGTTTTAAAATCCGCAACTCCTGCTCCATCTCCTGCTCCAACTTCTGCTAAAGCCACTGGTATGGCTGGAGAAACATTTACATACGAGCAGCTGAAGGCTGGCGTCGAGGGTATTGACATTACCCGAAAAGAAGTAAGTGCTTTATTCTGTAGTGGTAACCAGTATCTCTTTATACTAATGACATTTTCCAGACTTATCTCTCGGATGCAGAATTTCAAAGCTTGATGGAAATGAGCAAATCTGATTTTGAAATGCTTCCAAAGTGGAAGCAGCAGGCAAAGAAGAAAGAGGTCGAGCTTTTTTAAGCCTTTCAGATCCATGTGCTCAAATGCTTGAATCAAAAGTATGTTCGTGTGAGGAGAAGGATTTTCTATCGCTTTACAAATTCGACAAACATTAAATTTGATAACTTTAAATTCTCATTACAAAAATCATACTTTTCAATGTCAACCACGACGCAGCTAGGGCCAAAGCTTGCGCCCTTCATTCCCAGTGGGAAAGAAGTATTAGACCATACACTGGATCTTCTTGCACTTTCGAGTGACGATGTATTGTTCGATTTGGGCTGTGGCGACGCGCGGCTATTGGTTTATGCGGCAAATAAGACGAGTGCCACGTTGTTGCGAGTCGAAGTTTGAAAGTAATTTGAATGTGACTTTGTTACAATTCTACGTTATAGATGCATTGGTGTGGAATATGATGGCGACTTGGTAAAGCGTGCGCAGACACGTGTTCAGGTGACGATTGCTGTGAAAGCTGTCGACACTTCGATTTTTAATTCGTGCTGCAATAAATTAAGGAGCATGGATTAGAAGCATTAGTGGATATCCAATATGGCAACGCCCTGAACGTGGACCTTACGCGGGCGACGGCTCTCTTTCTATATCTCATGCCTCAAGTAGGTCGCACTTTGTTTAAGCGAGCAATTATATCCTAATCAATTATGTGGGGACGGCGTTTGCAGGGTATTAAGATGCTTATGCCAAAGTACGAACAGCTTCAGATGATGGAGCTAGCTGTTCGAGTATTATTTATCGAGAGATCTTGCTACCATTTAGGTTGGAAGAAGCGCGACGTCTACATGTACGCATTGTAACATACGTATTTTCAATCCCAGGCTGGAAGATCGACGATCAGCGTGATTACAAAGGAACTAAAGTACGCTTGTTGTCGATTTGAGATCATATATGAGATCTCTCACTATCTGATGGCCATTTCCTTTACTTTGGCTGTCAGATTTACTTGTACAATTCTTCAGCAGTGGCTACAAACTGAGATTGATAACAATGTTGGTTGCTTACTTGAGCCTACAACCATAAAGAGCTTTACCTATATTCTCATTTTATTCCCCTTCGTTGTATCATCGTGTCTTTTTCACATGAGAGTCCACTTGAAGCTTCACCAAGTTAAAATGGGCGCGTCTTGATCTCTTCCTGGATAGCAATAGCTGACGAATACGAATTGGCAGCGTAAGTGGCGTAATTTCGGTCCTTACTGTGTGTTGTCACAATATATTGACGCGGCACCTCCGGGAATCCCTCAGGACTCGTATACTGGTGGTGACGATGATATCCAACCGTTTTGTGAGCTGGCAAGTCGTTATCTAGCCGCCACTTCGCGCCCTCGGCTACTTGTGACAAGTGTGTCTGCATCAATAAGCCAAGTATTAATCACTTGCTCTATTCAGGATACTCGGACCATATCTACTTACCAATGTATCGTCCTCAGCCTTGTTCACGGGTGCCATAAACTTTGCAATAAAGCTGCCGATTGCGTTGCTCGCCATATTCTCTGCCTCACGTTAAAAATTAGACCTTGAATTTTAATAATGTGACAATTTGAACAGAAAGTCTATTTGGTGTGCTGAACTCGAAATACTATGCTACAATTTTAATCCCAAGTGGAGGATCCACCAAAACCGACTTGAGGCGTAAAGTCAATTTGCGTCAAGTCCAAAGGCTTGGAAACAGCGCTTTTGTTCTTTGTCGTTCTTTTAATTTTTTTCACGACCACTACACCACTGGCAATCTCCTTCGGCTGCCGTAGGTCCTTTTTATCGTTTCGGATCTTATCCTTGACAGCTGTCTTGGCCTTGGCGTCAATTTTAGGTGTTACCTGATTGACATCCTTAGATATCGGCTTGTTAGTCTTCACTTGCTTTACGAGATATTTTGCTGCTTTTTCGTCGGAATCAAAGGTCGCAACAATATCCGAAGTCGGCTTGTCCACCGCTAGTTGCTCCCTTTTGAGCTTTTTATGAATGCTTTTCGTCTCTAGCTTCTCAGCATCCTTGCCATTAGCTTCAATGGATGTTGCGATATCAACTTCTTTTACGCCATTTGTATTGGGACTAGCTCGCTTTCGCTTTCCTGCAACAACTTTCACTTCTTCCGACTTGGATACCTTCGATTTCTTCAGCTCCTTAGGTGGCGCAACGTAACCATGTACTCGCTTATCGAGCACACGAGCGGCATCACGCACAACCAAGTGTGGAAATAGCCTCTTCATTTTAAAGTTGTATTGCTTGTGCTTGGCATCCAATTTCTTTGCTTTCTTCAGTTGTTGTTCCTCTTCAGAAATGTTAACCTCCTTGCTTTCAGAGCTTTTCTTTTTGCTATCAGTGCCAATAACATCAAATGCGCTGTCTTCATCATTACCATCAGTGACACCCTTTCTACCGTCCTCCTTTGCCAATTTCGTAGAGACTTCAAGCTTTGATCCGCAGATGGGATTGCCTAATAAATTTAACTGCCGCAAGCTTTCAAGTGAGCTTAAAGCTTCAAGACCCGACCAGTCGTCAATAAGATTATGGCTTAGTTCCAGCACCTTGAGATTTTCTTAACAAAATTAAGAATCACCACAAAAGTCAACAAAAATTAGACGCGCATCAAAAAACCATCAGTGAACGTACTCAATTGTGCTAAATGTGCTGGAATGGTCTTGATTCGGTTATGCGATAGTCGCAGCTCCGTAATCCCTGTCAGCTGACTTAAATTTGGAATCTCTTCGAGCAAATTATGTGAGCTGTATCAATCATTTGTCATGGCAAAAGTAAGGCATCATCTAACAACCGCACGATTGATACAATTTCGTACATGGATATTTTCTTCAGACTTGGAAGACCATCCACAATGCGTTGCGGAATCTGCGAAATGCGATTGTTACTTAAAATAAGTGAATTTAGTTCGGGAAGCTTCGGTATCCAATCAAGAGCCGATATGGAATTGTTATTGAGCACTAGCGCCTTGAGCGTACGCAGGTTACGTAACACCTCGAACGGAATTCGCGTTAAGAGATTTTCCCCGACATTAAGGATGACAAGGTGTTTGAGATATTGAATCTCAGTCAAGCTACTACTGCTAAGTTTGTTGTCTGTCAATTTAAGCATCGTCACGCGCGGCACCGACTTGAGTTGCGAGAGTTTCGTGAGCTTATTGTGACTTAGATCCAGCTTGGTAGCAGTCTGCAACCCTTCAAGGCTCATAATGCTTTCAATACCTCGATTCGTTAAGTCTACCACTTGCCCATCACGTTTGACGATCTCATCACGAAACTCTTGCACCTTTTCAGCCGTGAGCTTCTTGATACGATGTTTGTTGGTTGTCGTCATTAGTAAAGAAATTTTAATTAGAGCCACTCGAAAAAGGTCATAATCACGAGGTAATATGATGACATAGAGTATGATTATTTGAGAAAAAATGAATACCATCAACTCAACTCAACACAACGACTTAAGCAAACAAAGAAATGTTCGCGCAACTCGATACTTGGGTTGTGTTGCGCTTCGTTGCTGTCAATCAGCATACAATCTAATCGTGCGCTCGCAACCATGTTGTCCGCGACTTTCCGTCAACCTGATTGCTAGCGTGTGAGAACAGTCTAAAGAAACTGGCGCTTGTGTTGTACAGTAACTTATTTCGAGAACTATCCATCGAACAGCGTTTCAGTGTCCTATGCTTGATGACGCCGTTTATGCCAGCGAGTAGCTACCGTTACACACACCACGCAAATTAGCTGGCTTTCAAAGCTGCTATGTGAGCCATAATTCTTGCCCGGATCTGTGTGTGAAGATGATGTGCGCTAATTGATAAGTATCAGGATTTTGGCAAGATACTGAATCGAATTTTACGGTATTTTAAACATTGCTGTCGGGTTTACGAATTATCAGGGCAATGTTATGCATAGGCTGAGCGGACGATGAGCGGACGGTGTCCGTGAGAAACGTAATGCTACGTGGACATACGTCATCACAATAAGTTGTTTGCTATAGCGGCGGGATTTTATACTTTTCGCTGGATGTATGGCTGCTTTGTCCGCCTGTCTGTAGCACAGATAGGTTTTCTAATTTTTCAAATTTTATGACCATTTTTTTTGATTGAAATCGATGATATTGCCAATAAATTTGCCAAGTTAGCTTTTTTACGTCAGGCGGCCCCACTTTCTTAAAGTAGTACGCGACCATTTCACCTGGTAAGAGCAGGAATCCATCGTAGTTTATCGAACAAAAGCATCTACCAGAATGTTTGTAGATCGAAGTGAAACTTAAGCTAATCTCGCTAAAAACATCAGCTTTATTTACCAATTACCACTTTAAGAGACGCTTTCCCTTGCGCTTAAATAAGAACGAAATTTCCTTGTCTGGTATCGGTGGCGTTACCAATTGCGCTATTCTGGCCGAGGTTTGGTGAGCAGTTTGATGGTGAGCCAAGAAGACAATCAAGAAATGGAAAGATGAAGTCTTTTGCCAAAACATGTCCCATATACAAACACTTCAGTATCCAGTTATTTTCACACTTGAAGACCCCCACTCTGGCGCACCCTAATCAGGCCGAGTGTATCAATGAAGCAACCTACAAAGGGAGACTTTTCGGCACCCTTGTCAATATCTTTTTTGGCGCATACATTCGAGCAGTCTCGCACGTGTTCTTTGGTTTGCCTCATTCAACTTCCCGTGATATTCAAGATATGTCAATACATGTGTATAGCCACGATATGATCTGAATGCCTGCGTCGCCAGATGATAATACTCCACTGGTACATTTGACAATTGTTGAGGCATTTCTCAGAAATGTCGCTCGAAGTACTCACTGCCGTGAGAATAATATAGCTGTCGCTCAACGATTTCTATCGATCAGGTTAAAGGCACTTAGCAAAGTACAGCCGACCATGCTGTCCCGAAGCTATCCAATATAAAAAGCGGTGGTTGCACCGAAATCGTGGCTAAAGCTAAGTGTGAAGAATTCGCACTTGCTGTTAGCTAATCTGACACGGAAAATCGACTTCGACTGAAGCGAGTATTTCTGCCACCAAACCCGATTCGTGTTTTGCGCGGAAGCAAGCGTCGATGACAGAAAACTGTCCGCCCTGTACGAGCCATTGCCGTATTAAGTAGGCACTCCCTTATCCGGAGGTAAAAGCGTGTGGTGGAACATTGGCCATCACATCGTGGATTTGACTCGACAAAGGATAAAAAAGATCCTCATGATTGCTGCCCCACTTTCCTATCCCAGTATTCTTCTAGTGCCCCAAATAACAGATCCATTCATCATGTTTAAGACCGAGCTCCTCCTTTGGTGCCAACCGTACTACTTATATACCATCATCGTCTCGAAATTTCTTCCACATACGCTGGAGAGAGATTTCTAGCTCTATCAGAGTTTCTGGTGAAGGCCCTGATAGGGAAACGGGGAATCTTACAGCCCATAGTACTTTCGTGGTCACTTATGGCGGAGTTCATCGATGCCTCGACTATTTTCGTCCAGAAAAAGCAATTTTATCGTCTAGTTCCTCAAAGATCTTAGCGCTTAGCATCAGTGGCCTGTTGGTATGTGTCATTTGGGGCGATCCTCGTGGTATATCATCAAAGCTGATATGCGTCCAGTGGCAAGCAATTTCCGCAACCGGATCTTTGACTGCCAGCTCTCTCATATAATTTGCACTCACGATAGAAGTAAGTGTCTTAGTTTGGGCAACAGATGCTCAAACGTTTATCTTCCAGCCTCGCAGAGGACACAATTCGTTACAGTTCAATTGTGGAGTTGACTGCAAGTGTTAAATCTTGGTTGCCGTGCACGTTTTTTAAATGCTTGAGTCTAATAGTTCGTTCTAACAAATGCAAAGAGGATAAGCTCATGTGCTTCTACCCGGAGTAATACCATAAGCCTCTGCCGGATTTCTGGTAAGCTCTGCTATCCCAAGAGTACATACATATAACCAGAATAAATGTTTGTCAGACTAATGCTACGTGATTGTATCTCATTTGATAAATGTATGGATTAGATTGCAGCTCGAAGATGTTCTTTACAAATTTTCATTATCTATCCAACATTTCGGTTCCTGAAATTCACAATTGCACCAAAGTTTACTGTGATTTTGCACAATCATCCAGAATAAATTTGGTTCAATTGTAAAAAAAATCGAGAAGTACGTGCGCAACCTTTCGGTGTTTGCCCACCACAAGATGTTTTGAAGACATTAAGAATTTTTGAATCCGAGACGTTGACCTACAACATAGCATTGCTAGAATGACGCAATAAAGCGACAAACCAGCCACAATCAAACCATATTTTGAAGAAGGTGAATTTCTCTGTACAAGTCTCTTCGTAGGACGAAGTTACGATTCTGAAGATATCTGGAATATGCTGTTCGTAAAAGAATTGTAGTCACCGAGTGTACAGAAATATATCTCGTGTGTTGTTGCGTTCAACGTGACTTGCAACTAAGGTTGGAAGTTTTTGTACAAGTCGCTCAAAAAAATCAAAACCGAAAATGCTGTTATTGTTTAAGGGTCACGGGTTTTAGACTCGACTTGTAAGAGTCTCATCGATTAAGTGGCAAAGCCTCGAGTACTATTATTAGTGAGTCGTTTCTCTCTCAAACGAGGGATACAAGAGTCTAGCTTTTAGTCAGATTCGGTCAACACAACCTTTTTGAGACACTTTAAACCCAAAAGGCACAGAGCAGTCTGTAAAAGTTAGTTTTTATGCCGTGGAGGTTGCGGCCAACGGGACCCAACTCAATATGTAGCGACGCTTTCAACGAAAGGTACAGTTTAAACTAATTAGTTGTTGACTTCGATATTCTGGTCTTTGGAAGGTTCGGGAATGACTCGATCAGTGGCACGCTCAATTACGGGCGACAAATTAGTGTTGAAAAATAGTGATGACTGAGGGCTGAAAGCGATAAACTATTACCTCGGAGCGTTAGCCATCCTATCAAACGCGCTATCACAATGAACGGATTCAGATTCAGAAGTGTTTAGCATTTTTGTTGAGGAATTTACAAGCTTTGAAATGTGCTGGCAGCCACAGGTTGCGTTCTCACACAGATGACTCATTTCCGGGTTCTCATAATCTCGTATAAACAATAAAAGTTTGTTCCGCCAGGCTTTTTTAATGTAGCCAAAACCTAACTCATAACTAGTAACATAGTAGCCAATCATGAGTTACCCGAGTATATTGCGCTTTGCCTGATTCGTTCCCTTCGGGTCTTTTTGTCACATTGACACAATGCGACGTTATGTACTGCATTAATTAACATTTTCTTACAAAAATGGATTTTGTTGATGTAGAAGACAATCAAATGCCAAGCAATCATGCTGGACTAATTTGAAACCAGCCACGAACTGATGGTAGTCTGGATTGTCGCCTTCGTTTTGAGGAATTTTCGCAGCTCTCGAATGCGCCTAAGTACCACTTTATTTGTGGGATTCGTCACTTCCAGCAGTGAAGCAGTAATTGCTAGGCTCTTTAGCTTTTCCAGATTCGTGACTATCTGCTTTTCCAGATTCGTGACTATCTGCTTTTCCACATCCTCGTTTTCTTTACGTCCTTCTCCTCTTTTTCACCTCCCGAACGATGGCTATAATCTCGTCGTCATTCAAATTCAGATTGGCTTTGTTTTCCTCAAGAATACTTTAATATCCAAGAAAATATTAAGAGGAAGCCTTTAGATAGCATCGCACAGGTCGATTTCAATGTATCGCTCCTCCATATTGGGTACCGATATTTGAAAAGGCTCTGCAAAGAGATCAGTGTGGCGAAAGCAATTGGCTACGGTAGCTACTTATATCTTCTTCCAAGCTGCTTTGGTCCAAATTCATTGCGGTTAGCTGATAGATGTTGGTTAAATCCGCTTGTCACGATCAGCAGCACTTCGAAAATGACAAAGCCTTTAATGTCGCTTAAACGCGGAGATTATCCCACTGAATCTTTGACGTGCAGTTTGGAGGAAGAAGGGCCACCTCGGCATTATACACCTCGTGATCGTCGACTATGTTAGAAGTGGCGCTATCTAGTAAAAGATGGATCTGCTTATCTTTGGCCTAAAAGCAGTGATTGAGATAGCTGAGATCATATCTAAAGCGCATACATATTATATCTTCATGTCGTTGTCAAGCCTTTTCGACCACTTCTGGGAGAGGGCGCCGGTCATCCCGCTTTCTTATTGCTGCGATAATAGAAACCCAGTTGCTTTCCTGTTTTAGGATTGAAATAGCGAAACTTGTTGGACATTCCAATGAACAGTGGCTTGAGCTTCTCTGACTCATTTGTGTTGGCAGCAGAGGCAATAGTGATGCGGTACTATGATGCAGAAAGGAGAATGACATTTAGTCACCCTTCTCATTTAAAAGACTATGAATAATTGCAAACCAACTTTTTGATTTGTCTACGTTCCCCAATCTGCTGCTGTGCAATGGTCTTTTCTCGAGCCATGGAATGAAAAAATCCTATGAAGACATCAATTCAGGAACTCTCATGTAAATGCGTTGCTTATATTCATACGAATTTTAACTATGTTGAACACATCCTTTAGCTCATAGCGAACAATGACTGCTAAGAACGCAGGAAGGGTAGCATCGATCACTGCCTGATCTGCTGTGCCACTGTCACCATGGATCCTTGTCAACGCGGCTTGTTCCTTTCTTAAAACTGTTGCAGCCACCCATTGGAATATTTGCTTGCATCCTCACGCAAGCTAAGTCGGCCAGCAAAGATTCTTGCTTTGACTTTAATGAGATCTCGAGTGATGGCTACATGCCTTGTCTGGCATTGAAGCATCCATGTTGCCAAGGCTTCATCGAGTTGCGGATGATTTGCAACACGGGGTAGTTTGCCCGAAAGCTCAACATCTGTCATGCCTCGAACTCGCGACTATTATTATAAATTGCTGCTAGTACCAAATGAAGTGATTACAAGGCTAAACTTCTGAGTAGCCCCGTGTCTAAAGCGCACTTTGACTCATTCCACTGATTTTGGCCTTTTAATTGCAGATCTCGAGTCGCTGGCATTTGTTAAACGTGCTGGTAACGTATTTTTTGTAAATGTAATTCCGCAATTGAGTTCACTTTTCTATTGAAAGAATTTCGCAATAAAACTCGAATAACAAGTAACCTCGACCAACTCATGTATATTTTAGACCACAATAATTAGTTTTCCGAGGGACAGCTGTAACACACCCTTTTAGGACAAAACATGACAATTTCTTTTGGATATGAGAGGTTGAGATAGCCATAAATTTGGCTTGCTGCAAACTGAGCAATAACGTGTCGCACAAGCTATTCCATGAGGGGAGGTCTCGCGCAAGAAAAAAGCCAAAAGCGGTGAGATAATCCCGCATACTGCACCTCTGTCAAAGAAAAGCATTAGAGTGCTGCTAGTCCTAAGCTTATTAAGTTAAAGGGTACGAATGGTCAATCTTCCACGCAGATCCTGGACGCAAGATCTATCGCGGATAAACGACTCTTCGCAGTAGGCAGTATGTGGCATAAATAGGAAGAAGTAAGCTACATTGCATTTTGTAGAGGTCAAGATCAATGAGACTCGGCCTGAAAGAACTCTCTCTAACAGATGCAGATTTCACAGCCCACTGCTGCTTCCTGTCTACATTAACGTCCGTCCTTGTCTTTGCGGCACTTTTAAAATTCTCATAAAATTAATAGCGTCGTGAAATTATGGGCGATGTACAACTGTCAAAACAAGTTGATTATAAGTTGAAACGTGTCGATAGTAAGCGCGGATACATATGTGTGCATCTTGATTCGTTAAGCTGACGAGTGTTTTATTCTTACTCAAATCTTGTGAATTTGGGCAGCGTAGAGCGCTGTCTGTCTCTAGATCTCAATTAAAGTTGTAAGTTCATCTTGGATATGGCCTGGTTGGAGCGCTATGAGCCATCAGTAACTTCAAAGTGAGGTTACATATGCCACGACTCCATGAGGGGCTTTGATGGGTCATGAAGTGACCTCTGCTGGAAAGCAGAATCGAATTTGATGTGGGCAAGGATTTTCGCTGTGGTATATAGGATTGTAGAATGATATTAGAGCCATTGTCAAAGCTCGATTGGTAGAATCGGCTGCGATCCGCGATTTCCAGATAAAAAGAAAGGTTGCGATCACATGCCGCAGAGAATAGAAATTAATCTGTTGGTTGGATACTTGGAGGAGGTGGGGCCTCGGAGATCTCTTTTGGTAGGATAGAAAAAACGACTTGTTGTATTGGTTTTCAGGGCTTGATTCATTGAGACGAATCGAAGCGACTCCATGGTGCGATCCCCAGATAGAACTTCTGTGATAAACTAAGACTACTGTAAGGCACGCAGCAGAAAGTTGAGGCCCTGGCATAAAAAGCGGATGGTACATCGTTGTCAGATTGTGAGGTAAAGTTTGAGTCAGCTAAATCGGGTTTTGTACCCACCGCGCGGGGCATGGATGCTTCGCAAGTTTTCGGCGAGCACATTAATTAATAATGAGTAAAGTCAATGCAGGAGTCCCAAGGTATGCAACTTTTTCTCACTCCTCCGCTTGAAGAGCTTGATCTGGAGCATGTACGGAATGTTATAATTAGGTACAGAAGGGTTTAATCGCCGCATTATCACTTTTTCTCTGGAAAGAATATGTTTTTACGGGCATTAAACTCACCGAGTGCGAGGGTAAGAGCAGCATTTCTTGAGAACCTATTCATTTATGTTTGAGAGGCTACGATTGGCTGATAAGACATCCGCAGCATCGGTAAATTGGTCTTGTTCCTGGAATGGGTATTGCTTAACAAGTCATTGACCTGTCCGATCTTACAATCTCTTTACTATATATAAGTATGTTTGGTGAGAGAAAGCAAACCAGCTCATTTGGCGTTCATCGCCTTATTGGGCTCGAGATCTTACTTTGCAGTAAGATCAATGCAACTACAATATACGTCCCGATTGCTGATTATTAAATGTGATTTGCTGACAAGAAACATTGACGATTTACATGTTTAGCGCTTTTAACCGAACGAACGATGATTTAACTCACAGTATCCATTACGCTACAGTCAATACTCCAAACTGGGCGTACCGGCAGCGGCCAATAATGTTCTCGGTCTGCCAAATATAATGTTCTCGGTCTGCCAAATACACCAGCGACGTTCAATTGTCTGGTAATCCCGGTACTTTGGTCTAATCTCTCAGAAGTACAGTCTTTATTCGATAATTTATCCCTTCATTGAGTGAAGCGCAATATGAACATCTTTATCAAACGTTTATGGTCACCGCTCGATTCTATGCGCTTCAATGGGCGGGTTGCCAACATAAACAAATGCTTTTTTTGCGCCAACCAAATTGACTTTCATTTGAAAGCATGACTTGCGAGCAGACACTGTTAAGATCAAGGCCATAGCGTATTGGTCAGTAAATAATCTCAAACGATCACAGGAAGTGGTTTTGCCAGACCATCCATTTGCACAATACTCGTGCCATTCTGCAGCGCTTTTTCTATAAACTGAAGTCTATGTGAGGGTAGTGGCAGCGATTACAGTGCAAATCACGCCAATATCAAACAACTCGTCCTCAATCTGCTAAAGTATGGCAGCAGTAGTACTGTGATCAAAAGCGTTTTAAATCCCGGAATGACCATTTTACGTCGTCTGTGACGTGTCCGTCTACCCAATAGGCTGCTCTTTACTTCAATTTGATGCTAATGGTATTGAATGTGTCGTTAAGCTTAGATACATCCAGCTTGTAAACGTACTTTCCAGCTCACGACAATGTTCTATTTGCTATTAAGCTGGTTTTTGGCTGGCTCATGGAACACTAGCTCAGTTTTAACCCATCTATGCAGTTCATGCATTGCAGCACATAACCACATAGTCCTTATATTTTTTGTAGATTGACAAAATGCTTATTCTTGCAACCGAGTGAACATTTGGAGCATAGATTAGAATGACCAGCTGGAAATCCTTGTTGCCGAGTTTATTGTTGGTGAAATATTATTTGATCGGTTGGTCGATTTGCTATATGTCTTTCTGATCGTGAACTCGCATAGGTCATAATGGAAACATAGTTTGCACTATAGTTGCTTAAACTCTTGCTTAAACCAAGCCAGCCTTGAAAAATCATTTGGTAGTGGCACTATGTACGTGAAGTTTAGCTAGAATTACTTAGGCACTATGCGAGATCACGATCTCGTCAGCACCAAAGACTCATTGAGCTACATTCGTGACCAAATTATGAAAGCACATACATCCGTGAACAGCCCATAGACACAGAAAATTGATGTTGACATTCGATTTTCCCGTGCTCTGATTGACTATGAGCGAATTAATTATATTTAAATTAAGTCGTGCAGATAGCTGCATCACCAATCGATTAAAAGCTGCTGGTGTTTCTGACAGCCAGAGCAGTATTGTTTGCTTCTAAGATCTGCGTTCAACTTTGAGCCGCACTTGCATGATGATAAAACCACCCATCACGTTGAGAGCACCTATAAAGTTATGCCGTTCTGGAGAATGCCAACTTTAAAATTGACGTTTGTGCCATTATTGTGGTCACAGTCATCCCCAAAAAATGTGTTCTATTCACTATTTTCTGAAATTACGTTGGTGCTTATTGAAGCAATTGACTATGTGCATTGCGCAAAAAGAAACCTTCAATAACAGTGTATTCATTCCTTGACGATATACGTGTTGCACAACATTCTGCTTCTGAAACCTGACCAATACACTAATGAACACTCGACTGAGGGGCATTTCATGTGGCAGGACTCTCATCGAAATGCTGTTGCGATCCTCGACTGAGATCGATTTTTATAGGAACATTGAAAAACATTGCTCCGTCCGCTCCTTGCACTAAATGTCCTCAGTGACAAACTCATCTAAGTCGGATAGTCAGCTTAGCTCCTCCTTCAATACCAACTCAGCGATCTTACCGCGTTAGAATATCATGCATGCATCGGTTTAGAATCTCCTTAACTCCTTATGAATGTCATTCTAGGAAGTGAAGCAATACACCTCCTCGGAAAACCGGTAACTCTATTTTTGAGTTTATTAATTGTTTGTCATGAATCCTTGAGACTTCAGTGCTTTGCACTATAGGCACGTCAATTGGTGTTGTTGACCCTGCTGTTTACAACATGACAAAGATGAACAATCAGCCATAGAACCAGGGTGGTCCTTCTGCATATGCCTGTCTTCGCGGGATTTATCAAGCAACGACAGGTGGGAACCTTTTCCTGTAAGTCTGTGACACGGTCAAATCTTCCGACACAGATAATGTCCTGAATTTCTACTCCAGAGATGTCCTACTCTGTCTCACCGCAAACCTAGTTCGATCAATCTAACTAAGTCAACAGCATTTATTGCTTCACAACATTTCATCGCCTTAAAATGTGTACGCCCTGGGAGCCACCTAAGCGACCATGCCATGCGGTCGCTTTTATCGTCTCAGCAAAAGTAAAATCTAGAGGTGCCGTCTCTCATCGATTCAATCTGTAAATCTTTTGAGATTGTAGCTTACAGCTGTCTATGATATGATATTAACATGTACAGTCTCAACTTCGTGCAAACACGAAAAGCGTTCTGATTCATTGCAGAGGTGGACAGCTCGTGGTATAGTCTGCCTAACCATATATGACATCAAATTGAGTCTCTATATCTAATAAACATAATGGGATCTCAGTGCCGGGTGCACCATATGAAGAGCTTATAGAACGTGTAGAATGCTGACCGCACACAATGCTTGATCAAAGTTTTACTGCTACAACTAACAAAAGCTATTGTACGAATTTCTTAGCTAGTTTCAACTTCGAGTCAAAGATTCGTACACCTCTTACTTTAACACGAGGTGTTTCAGACGATTTGATTTTTGAGACGGCCTTAAGCCCATTTACAGCTCGTATGATTATGAAAGGTTTCTTTGTGCAAGATGTACGGCAACCCTATCGCACGCGGAATCATTTGTCGTCAATCTGACGGCAGAATTCAAAAGACCGTATCTTTGTTGTGGTTGCATCCCGATAAACTGCGTATTTCACTCCGGGCTACCTAGACTCGCTTGTCTATCCGGTCGATGTTGTTGTTTTAAATAGAATAGCACAGCTGGCAAACCAAAGCCCGAAATTGATTGTTGCTCGTTGGCGGTTACAAAGTGCTGGTGTTAATTATTCAGAAAGGAATCAGTCACACGTTCGTGGAGGCACCTGCCGGCTACCACAGATCTCTCTAAAGTTAAGCCATTTGTACAAACAGTAAAGCTTTTAATGATAGGTGATGAAAGAACCTTTTGCTCGAATAGTCATGGACTGTACCCATTTCCATTCAAAGAAGCAGCTAGCACGTCGTGCTTGTAGCTTAGGCCATGCACAAGAATGTGCGATCACGTGCAGTACCTCAATAAAGCAGACGCTACAACATATGAAAGAGATTTCGCGAGACTTTGCTGAGTATAATCAGGTTTGCCGTATGTTGTCAAATATCTTCTGTATTCGTCAGAGCAGAAAAATTGCTAGACTATGTCCAACACAAGATCTCTGTAAAGGTGTATAGCGAGACCGTTCACTAGCGCATAATTGTTTTCCAGAGCATTGTGAATACCGTATAGAATGCAAAACACAAGTTACAATTTACACCAAAGGCGAGAATCTCAGCCAAGCTGAGACTCACAACAGTGGCCTTTTGGCTGTGGACCAACGCCGTTGTATACGCAGAGTCAACAATGGCCCTGCATGCCTCCCCATTTCTCAGATGCGAGGTACAAATAATTGGTGTCACACGCAAAGCCCATAAAAGATTCTTCACGATAGAATGCAAAACCATTATGGCCATCTGCATTTACCGTGAAAAATCTGAGCTTCTTTTAACCTCATAGACAGCGAGATCAATGTAGTCTTGTTGGTCGTTGATGTCACCTTACCAGGCCCAGAATAGCCAGCAAAACTTGGATGAATTTAGGGTTGATGCGCTTCTGCTAGAGTAAGAAATATACGAAGGCATATGAAGTGCTCGGTGCGGATTCGTGCGAATCGCAATGGACATACAATTTTGGAATTTTCATATTCAATTTAACTCCACATTTAGTGTTTTGAAGCAATAGATTCGTAAAGTACTTTGTTGTATTAGAATCGTATTTGAGCAACAGGTTTAATCTGACAAGTGTATACAAACCATGGACCAACTACAGCTCTCAGTGCTACGCACTTCATTTTTGTGGAGCGTTGGTAAGTCATAACCTTACATAGCAAAAACACTTTTTCGTGGCCTCATAGATCTAGGATTAGGTATGTCTGCGATAACTTGCTGAATGGATGAATACGTTTTGGAAGATCATGGCAACATAGATCTGCGGACTCCTGGAAAATACATCTTAAAAGTAATATGTCTCGGTTGAAAGAGATCTCGGTGGCTGAAAGCCACGAGTCTCAAGGTCTTAAGACAACACAAGGGGCTTTGCCTTGCGAGTCATGTAGCCTCCCTAATAATATATATCATGGCTTAATTTTGTTATGATGTGATGGTTGTGCTGAGTCTACAACATCAAGTAACGTGCCCATTGCTCAAAGAAGTATTCTTTAGTCAAGGTCTGGCTTCACCAGCTTTACTCTATGTGTTTTGCGATATATACAGGTCAGGTAATCTCACGTACGTATATATATCTCACAGAGGATGCTGAGATGGGAACGTTTCATTGCTGACTATATCGTTGAGATAAGTTAAAGCTCTAATGGTGGCGGGACGCGCGCTTGTCTCGTCCTTTGGTCCAAGAGACGCGCTACAGCGTATCTGAGCAACTAAAATACATCGCACTAAAGTGGCAAGATATTTTGTTATACAATAGTTAAATCAATCATCGGTATTTCTACCTTCAACCCAGGTATTGCCTTTTTAAGCATTTGTAACCGCGTTTTCACCGCAAATAATTATCGTAAGGTCTGCTAAATACAGCACAAACCCGCTTCACAAGCATCATGTGGTTGCATTATCTCAATTGCAAAAACTAGGTAAAACACGCGATAAGTTTGTAAGAGTGTCGTCTCAGTCAAGAATTGACGAGTGGTTTTGTGAGCGATATAAACCACACGCTCAAATTGAACAAATGGGTAAGCGCTTATGTGCGCTCCTGAAAATCTGCAAAAGAAAAAATCATCGCCATATGCTTTGGCTTCCATTGCAAGCCTGCCGGTCTCAGCATTGCGGTAGTGTACATGTATGGAATGATACTACCGATCTAGCGGTTTGTAGACAGCTCGAGCAGAGTGGCCTAACTCGTAGCTGCCAGACCATTGGACTTTTAACTATGTTACTTCCTCAAAGTCTTTCGCCAACATTAATTTTCTGTCTGCGGCTATTTATCTGGATAAAGATCAGCGCTTTATACGAAAAATTAGTGAACTTTTTAAGTATCACAGCATGAGTTTTAGCATTTTTCTAGCAGGCCATCTATTTGCCCATACCCAGACAAATCGGTTTATAGCGAGCTGGAGGGTATCCCACAATTAACCTTGGGAAGCAACTGCGGTGCTGATGCGACATACTTTAGCCCATGAGAATTGCGCTTAATAACACCGTTCCTGTTTACAGGCTTCACACCACATTTTTTAAAATGCTAATGTAATGTTCGTGCCCCCGCGATACTTCCACATATCGATGAGCGGTCTTGATGAGGGAGGGCTGTCAATACTGGTCGACCTGTCGATATCAGCCCAACTACATTTCGTAGCGATATACAAAAATATTCAAGAAAAAGTGTCAAGTGGCAAGTGTGCAATATCCTTGATAATCAAAATCAATTAACATCAGATGAAAAGATATAAATTTGTTGTGACTAAAACAAATTATTGAACGATGTCACATACTGTCTTTGACCTTCTCAGCAAAACTTTGTGCCCTCGTACAGATTGTGTAGTGTTTGGAAGATTCAGAAGTGAGCCTTATTGTTTTTGTTAATAGAAATGAATGGACATGAAATATGTAGTCGTCATCGTTGGATTGTTTGATCGTGTTTCT